GCAGCCTAATTTTTTTCCCTTTTTTCTCTTCCCATGTGGACTTTTTTATAAGGTCAAGAATAGTTGTAAAATTGAGTTATAGTAATTTCAATGGTAGATATAAAAATTGAGTTATCAAATACTTCATTTGATACATGATATAATATTTTAATATTTATTTAAAAATCGTATATTTCAACTATGGTTATCAAATTAATTATTAATTGGAAATTTTGTCAATTTGTTGTTGAATGTTTATGTTACATTTTTTATAACTCAATTTCCAGTAAGTATTTTTACATAGTAAAAGGTGAATTATCGAAATACAATCCTCGTTTGATAACTGCTCCATTGGAGTTGCTGTATGTTATAATTATAATATTTTACAAGTGTATATAGGTTTAGGCGTACTTTACATCTATATGTCCATGTACTTGTGATTGTGCGCGAATTAGAGATTACAAAAATATCCGACGTATTTTCGTCTGTGATATGTTACACCAAATATAGCATCTACAAGTCGATATATAGTAGTTAATTATTATCGAAAAAATAAAGAAAAGAAAAGTTGATAGTAGTGTCTTTTAGCTGTCTCTTTGGATTGTCTTGAGAACTCTATTCACTACACCATAAAAGGTCATCCATAGCGTTTCAAAAACGCTATACTATCCTATTATAGCGTTTTTGAAAACGCTATGTCTGCCGGAGCTATAATAGGTCAAGATGTTTCTATAGCGCTTTACGAACGCTATCACAGTACTGCATTTTATAGCGTGTTTAAAGTGCTAATATACGTTATTTGATAGCGTTATTTAAATGCTATTATCCTTTTTTATAGCGTTGTTTAAATGCTATTATCCTTTTCTATAGCGTTTTAGTTGTATTGTTTTTCTATTTATTTGTGCTTTATAAATGCTATGTTAGGTTATTTTATAGCACTTTTCATGTGCCATTGTTACGTCTATAAAGCATCTTTATATAATAACAATAAATATAAAATAACATTTGTACAAAAATCAAATTAATATATATATATATATATATATATATATATATATATATATATATATATATATATATATATAAATAAATAAAGCAAAAATAAATACATATTAAATTTATCCAATTCAATACAATTCATCAAGTCACAAGAATCCTAAAGTTGAACTTGAATAATTATTTAAAAAAAATGTACTTGAAGCAAAAGGAATTCATCAAGTCTGCTATCTCGTTTTCCAATCAACTCATCAAGTTTGGAAAATAGCTCATTGAGTTAAGTCCGCTTTCTCATCCTTGTTATCACGTTTTTTACTTCATTGCTATCTCGTTTTCCACTTTCTTGTTTTTGCCAATTCCTTTGCTTATATCCCTGTAAAAACCATAAATCTTAGTTAATATTGTTTGAATAATTGTTGATAAGTTATCATAAAATACCTAATTATACAACTAATGATAGAAAAAATCATCAGAAAATAAATATAGAATCACAACTGAGACGAAAAGAGTACATTAGTAAATGGATCGAATTAAATGACTGGATGAAACTGTGGTATACCTATATTCATGGACTTCTACTGAAGGAAAAAAAAAAAAAACCTTGGACGAAAATCATCAAAAGAAGCATAAATCATTCTAAAACAACATACTTACTTCAAGACTCTCCAACATCCTGGTAAAATTTAAATATATAAGGACAAGTGATGGAATTACAGTGTCAATATCTTAATATGACAGAACAGTATTTAAGTAGGGGAATACAAATAATCATCTACCTTTTTGCCCGTCCTTTTAAAAATTGGATCACAAAGAGGCGCCCGAGAATTGTATTACAGAGAGACGTTCAAATCCACTTGTCCACTAAATAATTCTGAACTAGCATGATAATTGAACGGACATGTTATATACATATTTAACATGAAATCCAAACATTTAAAAAAATATTTCACAAGAAAGCAAAATATAGCATTCCTCTTATGTTTGAATCCACAATGCAAAGGATGAAAAGCACACATCAGACACACAATAATCACTTTTTCCTCCATCATATCAGGCTAAATGTAGTTATTTCTGTTATAATAAGGAATTAACTATTTATATAGTAAAAAGGCCATCAACCGAAATGCTTAAATTTATATGAATATAACACAAATACAGTCATACAAATAGATAAATACAGACAATTTATTGAATCACCCAAGAAAATTCAAAATAGAAAACATTATATATACATGCTGCACAAAATAACTGGGGGAGAACATACATTTTTCCAGTATCAAGGAATACCTATGGAGCAAACTAAATTACTATCAAGGAATACAACGGAGAGAACAATCTTTACAAAGTCATAATCATATTGAACCAATCAAAATTGAAGAGAGATCCATGTCTCCTAAACTACAAAACAACCACTAGATTTTCTTATTCTCTTCTAACAGCAACAAAACACACATAAAATGATAGATGCAGATTAAAGAACAAATCAATTGAGTAGAATAAGGGTTTTTTTTTTGGCCGAAAAGAAATAAAAAACTAAATTGAAGACAATTTTACACAAAATCAAATAAATGGTGAGTGAGAAATACTCATTACGTATGGAAAGGAAAGAGAATCAGCAATGTCGCGCCGGCTGGCCGAGCCAGAGAGAGCGGAGTGTTTCAATTGATTCGCTGAATGTTTTGCTTTATGCTTCGACGGTGGAGAGAATAATTCGTGAATATATGGCTGGACACGACAGGGGCGAGCCTTTCCTCAATGACGGAGGCGAGCGACATTTTATTGTGAACGATGGAGGCGACAGAGTATTTGATGAGATCGAAGCGGCTAAAAGATATTCGGCCGATAGAGGCGATAGAGAGAGACTGATTTTACACTTTTTGACCGTGAATTTGACTTAAAAAACCCTCGATAATGGAATTGTCCATATTAATAGCGTTTATACTTTTTCATTAATTAGTTATTTAATATGACAAAAACTAATAATAGCATAATTTGCAAACACGCTATAAAACTACGCTATTAAATATCACTTTTCTTGTAGTGATTTGTTTGTCTTTCTTATTTGTGTTCATCAAACAATTCATATTAGGAAAATCCTCTAGTTAACCATGTTTCATGCTTGGATGGGTGTAATGCAATTTCTAATTATGGTTTGATTTGATCTATATTTTACATTTATTGGGTAGAAAGTTGTGCTTTAGTAAATATTCCAATTAGAAAATAGTGAAAATTAGATATAAAAAGAAGTTATCTTTAAAGTTACATAATTAAAGGAGTTGAGGAAAAATGTCATTTGCCTCAATATAGACAATTTATAAGATGCTACGTCTGGTGAAAAATAACGACGGGAGGAGGGGCATACACGTAGGTGTGCTTTATTATGTGTAGACCAATGTTGCATAATCATTTGATTTATGTCTTTTAAATTGAGAATACACACGAGCAATCATCCAGATCTCGAATCCGGATGATCCAAAATAATTTGAAAAGCTAACTCACATGATTTATTTTCTGAAACTTCAATGGAATTACTCTCGAACTCGAGCTTGAAATTGACCTACAATTAGGCGACCAAATCAGTTGACATTTTGGCGGGATGTTCACATTCGATCTTCAATCAAAGAGCTAAAATTTGCGTCTTTCATATTTTCTCAATTCGAATGAGATCATTATCAGAATCGAGTTTGAAGTTGATCTACTCAATCGATCAAATTAGGTTTTTTTTTTTTTTTTATGTAGATTATTAGAAAAAAATAGAGAAAATAGATATAAAGTGAACAAAATTGCACATGTGCGAGTGTAAGTGTTTTGTGTAAAAGTGTTCCCATTAGCAAACAAAAGTAGTCTAAAACATCATGTTTGTTTTGTTGAATAGTCTCATAACTTATGTTTTATCATTTTCGTGCAATTAAGTTGATTTCAATTAATTAATTATATATATAGAGAGAGTACTAACAAAAAGTAAAGGGCCAATAATGTGTTTCATATGTTACACTCATGGTTTTTGTAGACACCATCATTTAGAGCTTATTAACTTTTATGCTATAAATACTTTTTGCAATTTAATAATTAATATAACTTTAAGTTGGCTTCTCCAAAATTTTGTATACTTTGTTCTTG